CCACACAACAAGACCTAGAACCCATAGAACCGTAAACCCTAAACTGCCTGAAACCAACCCTCAGCCGGCCTGAAACCCATGTGCTAACGTCGAGGTCCGAAGACTTGATTCGGCGGGTTTGGGCTTTAGGGTATACCTTAAGAACCCCAAACCCACTTTTTTGGTAGGTTCTTATTATAAACCCGAATCTGGGAGTTATAGGGACCCTACAAAAAGTAGGTTTTGGGTTCTTAAGGTAGGGTTTAGGGTTAAGGGTATAGGGTTAAGGGTATAGGCTTTAGGGTTTAGGGTATAGGGTTCATAGAGTTAAGGGTATAGGGTTTAGGATTACGGGAATAAGGTTAAGGGTTTCGGGTTTAGGGATTAGGGTTTAGCCTAAAATCTGTGGTTACCCCAAACCCCAAGCCCTGAACCGTACTGCTAACCCCTTATCCCTAAACACTACCTCCAGTCTCCCCTTCTCGTAGTGCCCCTTTTTTGGGCTATACCTTTAGGATCCCAAAAGAAGGAACTGCAATGGAGACTATAAGTACTTGGAGGATCATGGGACTTGGTAAGTACGTTTATAAGTCCCTCAATTGGGGTTATAAGTATAGGTACCTTAATTATAACCCTATCTTACTATAAGTCCCATGATCCTTTAAGTATGGGTTTTTGAGGTCCTTGACCCCATGGTGAGCCCAGCGCCAGGAGCGCCGGCGCGAGCGGCAACGCGAGCGGTCGGAGTGGGGAGCTCAAGTGCTGGACTCCTTGGGACCCACAGGGTCCAAAGTACCTATGTAGTAGAATGTGGTCTTTCTATATTAGGAATTGTTATAATGATTTGGGGAAGTATGCCCCATAACAGTACCTAGGACCCTTTGGGGGAGAGTCTGTAAGGTCTTCTGGCGGTCTTCAGTCACGGCTTTCAGAACTGGGTTAAGGGACTTTCAGGATTTCAGCGCTTGTAGAGTGTCTGTGCGGCTTTTGGATGGGGTCTGGAAGTCTCTAGGCTTTTCTCAGCGTCAGGGTCTGCCTAAGGTAGTAGTTCCCTTTTTCGGTCATTGTTCAGGATGCGCAACATAAACTGGGTTGAACAGAAAAGGGAACGACAATGGATACTATAATTATATAGATAGGGTTCTTTAAGCGCAACACAATCAGTGCTGAAGAGGTCTGCAGCTTAGGGATGTATGTTGCCAGGGTTTGCGGATAGACCCTAAAGCCTTTAAGCCTGCGCATTCTAGACACCAAACGCGAACTCTAAAGTGCCGTAAACCCTGGCGCTGTTGGGTTTTAGGAGCAGTAGTTCCTGTTATCATTTGTGCTTGTGTCTCTCCGGTGTCCTCACGTTTGGTTCGTAGAAGCCTACCCTGATTGAACCCGTGATCCCGAGAACCGTACAGTGTGTCGCCGAAACGAATACCCGAAATTCGAAACGCATGTTTGTATCCATATATGTATCCATATATGTATACATATATATATATATATATATATATGTGTATATATAGATATGTATGTATACACATATTTGCGAGTGAAATGGGTCTGAAGTATTAAATCCTTTGCTGTACCAGACTCGTAACCCCCAGCCCTAAAGCGCTGAGCCCTAGGCATTTACCCAGATTCCAGAAACCTGGATCCGACTTAAACCTGTTGAATCCCAACGGGTCATAGGTACTACGGCTGATGGACAAAATCCTGCATGACCTTATATACCTAAACTATGGGATTCATGGTACTCTACTATATTTGGGTCATGCAGGATTTTGTCCATCAGCAGTATCATGGGGATACTTGCCCAAATCATAATAGCGAATTGCTATCATAGAAACCCTACATTCTACTTTATATAGGTACTTAGGGCCCTCTGAGAACGTGAGTTTCAGAACATGAGAGAGGCTGATGTCGTCCCGTACTGTGAATACTAGGATCAGTACTATACAAGAACCCTTCCGAAACCCAAATGCAGGATCTCTGGAGCCAGAGGTCACGACCCTGAAAAGGCATTATAGAGGTCGGCATGCTATTCCTTAGGGTTCCTTACATATTTAAATAGCTACCTTACAATATGTCCGCAAACCCTGTTCTAATTACTAAAGCCCCCATACCCAAGAACCCTTACGTAACCCTGATAGACCCCATTCCAAAAGAACCCTTGAAGGGCAGGCAACCTAAGACCCGCTGATTTCAGGTGTAGGGTCTAGCGCCCGGTTTCGCACTAACTTCGTAACCTCGAAGTGTGAATATTTCATGCTAGTTAAACCCTAAACCCTAAACACAAAACCCTAAACCCGAAACCCTATACGTTTTCCATTACGGCAGGTCTGGTAGCCCCAAGCCGCGGGGAAAGCGCGGAGACAAGTCACCTCGGATGTTTAGGGTTTAGGGATTAGGGCTTTCAGGGTTTAGGGTTTAGGGTTTAAAGTGCTTACCTGAATCCCCCCAGAAGTAGTTACAAAAATGGCCCAATTTCTACAAAGGGCTATAATTCTACACAGTTTTGGGATCCAGGTATGTAGGGTTTAACATTAGGGTTGAGGGCTTGTTTGTTACGTAAGCCCTAAACCCTAAACCCTAAACCCTAAACCGCTAAACCCTAAACCCTAAACCCTAAACCCTAAACTCCTAAACCCCTAAACCCTAAACCCTAAACCCTAAACCCTTAAGAGCTTGCTCGAACCCTCGGGGTCGAAGGGAGCCAAGTCGTCGGGCTTCCATACGGTTTCTTTCGGGGTTAGGTTTAGGGTTTAGGGTTTAGGGTTTAGGGTTTATGGTTTGGGGATGATAGGGATTTAGGTTTTAGAGGGTTTTCGGATTTAGGGATTAGGGAATATAGGGGTTTGTAGGGTTTAGGGGTTTCAAGGGTTTTATGGGGTTTTGTGAGGTCCGCAGGACCCAACGACTAGGTCCTTTGGTCCAGGTTCAGAGTAGTAAGGCAGTCTTTTTTCCCCTTTTAGGATAGCAAGGGTGCTGTGCGATCCGTCAGACGGAGTCTCAGGGTCCTGAGGCTTCAAGTTGAAATTTAACTTCGGGTTCAGGGGTTTAGGGTTTAGGGTTTAGGGGTTTAGGGTTTAGGGAAAATGATAAGACTGCAGTGACGAACATTTAGGACCCTCATGCTGCGGACTAGGACATAATATGATGGTGGTGATTGTAATGGCAATGGCTGCTTCGGGCTCTAAGGCAAAGAAGCTCTTTGGGCTGTAAGAAGTGGGACGACGCAAGCCGGGTTTGGGCTTAAAGCTTATATCATACCTGTAAGGAATCTGGAGGAATAGCGGAAGAACGTTCTAATTTTTTTTGCGGCCCTTATGCTCCCTTACAAATTCCCGGTCGTAGCCCTCCGCCAGGCGCTTCAAGTGGGAAGACGACTGAAGACACGCCTCAACACTGCGCACGGTGTAGGGTGTGTCGGTGCATTTAAGCCTTTAGATGCGATCGGATCTATTCAGGGTACATGTTGTTTTCGGGTTCGGGGCGTTGGGGGTTTATAGGGTTTAGAGTGTCTGGGGCTGAAGGCTGGATGGATATTTAATGCATTAGAAATCTGAAGTCTGAAGTGTGTGATTTTTGAATATGGCGTTAGCTTCATGATACAAGATTAGCGTCCAGGGAAGTTTCGGGTTTAGACGTCCGATTTAGGGTGTTGAAGGGGTTGAGGCTTCAGCGGTTTAGGATTCGAAGTTTGGGTTTAGACTAAGAAGGATCTACCGGCGAGTGTGCTCGCCAAATACTGAACATGAGCGATTGAATGATCTATTGCAGGGACCGTGGCGGAATGCCCCATGCGCAACAAAAAGGTGACGTTTGTTGCTGGTTGTCAGAAAGGCAGAATTGTGATCCACGGCCGTTGGGAGGTGGGTTAAATTGGTCATCGTACATAAGCGCCGCGTAGTCATAGATGGGCGACCTAGGCATGGTTTAGGATTAAGGGCCCTAACCCACTCCGTACACTGAACCCCGAAAGCCCCAGCGCCCACACCCTCAACTCTTTAAGCTCTTAATCTTGATCCTATATCCCTAAATTATCCGAAACTTTACAACCTTTCAACCTGAATTCCCAAACCTGAACCCCAGATCCATAACCCTGAATCCGTAATCCTGAACTTTTGAACCTGAAACCCTAAACCCTAAACCCTAAACCCTAAACCCTAAACCCTAAACCCTGAACCCTACAAACCCTAAATCCAAAACCTGAGCCCTTCCTTCTCTTGTCCAGAGTCTCAACCCTAGAACGCTCATCGATGTATGGCTTAAGCGAAGTACCCTATCCTAGGCTTTCCTAAGCCAAACCCCAAATTCCAAGTACCTAATAATCATATACTCTCCCAAATATTAATCTAGATAACTACTATCCGCAACCAAAGTACCAGATTATTGGGTCCTTTGGACCCTAAGGGAAACAGCTGTATGTCATGAAGCCTGAACCCCTCTCTTCCTCGAAACCTTGTCGACCCTTCGGAAGCCCTCCTAAACACCAAGCCCGAAACCCTAAACCCTACAGATCCTAAGCCCTAAAGCCTCAACTCTAACCCTAAACGCTTGACGCCTAAACCCCTAAACTCCTGAAGCCCTGAACCCCTAAACCTGTGAATCCTAAATTTAAACTACGCTCTGAAGCCCTGTAGATAGACTCCTCCTCTTCCTCAACCCTAACCCTAAACCCCAAACCTAGAACTCTAAACCCCAAGCCCTAAACCCTGAACTCTCAACCCTCAACCCCCAAACCCTAATCCCTAAACCCGAAACCCTCAACCCTCAAACCCCAAACCTTAAACCCTAATCCCTAAACCCGAAACCCTCAACCCCAAACTCTCAGCCCCAAACCCAAAACTCTATACCCTAGACCCTAATCCCTAAACCCCAAGCCCTCAACCCTCAGCCCCAAACCCTAAAACCCTAACCCCTAAACCCTAAACCGGAAAACCCTAAACTCTAAAACCCTAAACTCTAGGGTTTTATCTTCAGAGCCGTATCTCCGGGCCGTCAGAGGGCCGGGAGCGGACCGCTGAGCCATGGCGACCGGGTTCGGAGACCCGGGCCTTTTCCCTTTGAGGGCCTTCGGGGTTAGGGCTTTAGGGTTTTAGGGTTTAGGGGTTAGGGTTTTAGAGCTTTAGGGTTTAGGGTTTAGGGATTAGGGTTAGGGCCTTTGGGTTTTAGGGTTTAGGGGTTCGGGCCTCAGGGTTTTAGGGTTAGGGGTTAGGGCATTAGCCGTTAAGGCTTTGGGGTTAGGGCCTTAGTTTTGGGGTTAAAGGTTTTGGGGTTAAGGGTTTAGGGATTCAGGTTTAGGGGTTGGAGGTTGATGCGTTGGGGTTTAGGAGTTTAGGGTTTAAGGTTTAGGGGTTAGGGTTTAGGGTTGCATTTTACAGCTTCAATCTTTGTCATAGGTGCGTAACATTTTACAAGTTTTAGGGGGAGTGATAGAAGGATAATCTGGTAAGTATTGCTCTCCCGACCATGAACTAGGTATAATTTAGGGGCTAATTAGTGAATTAGGGGTCTACAGTGTTTAGGAGTCACGGTTTAGGGTCTAGTAGGGGTGTATGGGTTGACCGGGTTTAGGATCTCGGGGGGCTACGTTTTAGGGGTCAGCGCTCTGGCATTCTTCAGGTCTTGCTTGCCCGGCTTGCAGGGCCTGGGGCGTACCTAAACCCCCAAAAGTAGTTAAATTCTCTTCGGATGTGATTTGATTGTGGGGGAGTTCTGCACGGATATTACAGGGTTGCAGGGCTTTGAGTTTGGGGTGGAGCTTGCTGAGAAATGTTGAAGGTTGCTTGCTTTAGTAAGGCCTTTTAGCCTTCTAGCGGATTTTTTTGGTTGTAAGCGGGTTTTGTAAGGGTTTCAATAGGGTTTCAGAGTGTTCTAGAAGGGTCTCTAGGGTTCTATGAGGGCTTGAGAGCGCGAGGGTAGTTCTATTTATGTTTGTATGTGCTCTAATGTTGTCAACATTACATCACAGGTTTACTGGTGTTTTACAGAGTGTGAGAGTGCAAATGTGTTCGACAGGGTTTGAAAGTGTTTTTTGCCAGGGTTTCTATTTGATGTTCTGCTTTATTGTTCCGTAGTTTCATACGCATGTCGACTGCCGAGTTTGTTTCATCGTTTTCGCATGGGTTGTTCTCTAAATTAGGGCCCCGGCCCTGTTTATAACTGTGCCGTGCCAGTTTCGAGGCCTGAACAGGCGAACTACCCCCCTAAACCCTAAACCCTAAACCCTAAACCAAACATCTGTCATTGGGTTTAGGTTCCTGTGGTTTCCGAGTTTTCTACCAGGAAGCCTCGGGACCGGAGTAGCTTTGGACCAAACGACCCAATAAGTACGTATTAGTTGGTTTAAATGTTTAGGGTTTAGGGTTTAGGGTTTAGGATAGACTAGTAGTAAGATGTAGTAATGTATGTCCCATATTTTCTGGGGTGTCTATAACTAGTGTATGACGGTATCTGATCAAGTATAGGTTCTTGGACCTGTGAGGGTAAGCTTATCATTCCATTCCCCCAGCATGCCCCACACAGATTCACCGCCATGAAGCCAGTCATGTCGCCCCGGCTCGTGGGGCGCGTTTGCCGTCTATAGGGCAACGAGATACTGGATCACATCCGACAACCCTTCCCCCCTCCCACACACCGGCAAAGAAAGACTTCAGGAAATGGCAAACTGTGAAGACTGAGGTTCCCGGCGATGATGGCCGTCCCGGGTGCCGTTCCTATGTCACCCTCCGGCACGCCGGCTGGCAGCCCAGAGATTCGTTGTGGCCTTTGTGGTGCTTCCACGGTGCTTCGAGCCGATTTGATTCTTCCTTTGTTGTGTGGTATGAGTTTCGGGGCCATGTGTGTCTATATATGTAGTAAGATACCCGAAACCCACAGGATTTCTTCGCTTCGTAGTGACAGGTCGCCGGTTTGAGTCTCTGAGTGTGTTTCGGGGTGAGTGTCTGATAATCACAATGATGAGCAAGATGAACATAATGATGATGACGGTGCTGATGAGTACGATGAGGGTGATGATGATGATGATGATGATGATGATGACGATGACGATGGTGATGACGATGACGATGACCATGACCATGACGATGATGATGATGTTGATGTTGTTGATGATGATGACGATGACGATGACGATGGTGATGACGATGACGATGACGATGACCATGACCATGACGATGATGATGATGTTGATGTTGTTGATGATGACGATGATGTTGTTGTTCATGATGATGACGATGACGACGACGATGTTGATGGTGATGTTGTTGATGATGATGGCCAGGCAGGTCGGACAATTGTCACGAGCACGATCACACTGATCAGTTGATCAGGACGATCTGTATGTTGTCGTCGTTGAAGCAGCACGAGTCTCCCTGCTGAGATCACTCTAGTTCGGACGTGCCTCTACTGACGGTGCACAGACTTCTCAGCTTGCGAGGAGCCAGATTTTGGGTGTTTTCGAGGAACTGCGGGGAAAATGTGTTTGCAAGCAGCTATGTCCGTGCTTTGCTCGCTTGGCCGCATTTTCTCCCGATCTTTATACTGCAAAAGCCTGGTTTCCCACAACAGGGTCGATCTTTGCCCGGCGAGAGGCGTGTGCAGGAAAACTATATGCAGGTTCGGGTTTCATTTGTTTTTTCCTTGCGCAGTTTGGAATACGTAGTTTCCGCTCCGCAAGGTCACTCCCATGACACCAGTGGTGTTTTCACCGCGCCAGCTTCTGCAACACGCTGTGCAAGCACCTCAGTGTTCGAGGGAACAAATGCGTTCTGACACCATGAGCAGCGAATCTCCGTAGCTCCCTGATCAACCCTCCCAGCACTTTCCGCTTGCCAGATTTAGGGTGTGCGTAACCTAATGGAGGTTCTGGTCCATCAACAAAACCCCAACCCCCCAGGTACCTACTATATAGGGTACTAGAGCCCTAGGGCCCTATATAGTAGGTACCTGGGGGGTTAGGGAAACTTGAATCATGATACTGGTTCGTGTTGATGCACCGAAGCGCAGAGCAAATCCAGGAGCTCGCGCTGAACCCGAAAGCCTTAGAGGCCATTCCATGTAAGCTCTCAGATCACACCATTGAAGCTCGGTTGCCTACAGGGTTTAGGCACCGTAGGGCTATAGGGTTTGGGCTTATAGTTAAGGAGCTGGTAGGTTACTGTACGCAGATTGTGTGCGTAAGGACACCCTAAATCCTAACCTAACCCCTATATAAACCCTAAACCCTACAAACCCCAAAACCCTAAACCCTAAGCATTTTTGAGAGACGTGTCTGAGGTTACTTGAAGCAGTGAGTCGCAAGCCTAACCTTAGGGCCGCCCGAGGGGGCTGTCAGCCCTGCAGCCTCAGCAGGGTTTAGGGTTTAGGGTTTAGGGTTTAGGGTTTAGGGTTTAGGGTTTAGGGTTTAGGGTTTAGGGTTCAGGGTTTAGGGTTTAGGGTTTAGGGGTACAGAGAAGTTCCAAACACCCCCGAAAAAAACCCAAAATCCCAAACCCTAAAGCCGGACCCTTGAACCCTGCAACCATAAACCCCAAACCCTAAACCCAAACCCTAAAGCCCAAAGAGCCCTTCGAATCACAGCAAATAACCTAAACCCCATACCCTAAAGCCCCAAACCCCAATCCCAAACCCCAAAAGCCCAAAACCTTAACCTCAAAAGCTCGAAAACCCCAAACCCTAAATCCACAAACCCTATATACCCTAAACCCCGACCCCCAATACCCTAAGCGCTCTCTCTCTCTCTCTATATATATCTATATATATATATATATATACTGCTTATACTACCTCGACCTTACAGATCCCTTTATAACAGGAGCCCTGAACGCCCCTATACTGCCTCGAGGCAGGGTGTGCATACGCCGACTGCTCCGGGTCCTCGGCTGGCCGGCGTCTATCGCCCGGGAGCCGGGAAGCCCAGGGGTTCAGGGTTTACCCTTGTTTTGTTGGTGGTTTTTTGTCCATTCAAAAGGGAGTTAGGGTTTGGGGCATTCAGGGGTTTAGGGCTTTAGGGTTCTAGGGCTTAGAGTTCAGGTTTTAGATGGCAGGGTTTTTAGGGTTTAGGGTTGTGAGTCCCCTACAAGCGTTCTACAAGGTTCAGTCCTGGTCCTAAATTGGTTTAGGGGTTTTTGAGGTTTAGCGTTTTAGAGTGTGAGTTCGGGTATTTCAGGGTTGGCAATGGGTTTTTTATCCCTAAACCCGAAAAGATAAACCGCACACGCAGGCCCTACCCTGTCTCTGAACGCGTGTACTTATGAAGCAGGAATCACAAGCGTGGCTCGCTCGTGAGTGCCTGGGGCAGCCGAGATCGTGGTGACGATCGTGATCGTGGAAGCTGTGTTGGCCTTAGATGGCCATTCGGCACCCCAAAACTTGGGCGTACGTTGGGACCACTGGCTGTGGTCGCCATATGAAGGGCGGACCCTGACCACCTATCAGCACGCCAAGCAAGACTGGATACAGGTACAGACTGGCACTACTGGTCGCTACAACGCCGTTGGAAGATCCGCCATATTGGGCGACCACTGTGAAACAGCCCACACCTAGAACCCAAAGCCCCAACCATGACCTATAAACCGTAAACTGGTCCATAGCAGATGAGGATCAAATTTTCGGCACTGCCAATGAAGCAGAATTGAGCTATAGATCTTGACACCTTATTTGTTCTCGGAGTGCTTCGATTCACGCAATCCGAGTGCCATCGAATTCTATTCTACGGGGCAAAGACTTACATTATACCATAAACCCCTAAACCCCTAAACCTGAAACCGTGTACATTCTAATTGTTCGGGCCTTTTAACTTCTGAGAATCCCCGTAGACCCACCAAACCCCCAGCCCTCAGCCCCAAACCATCCTCAAGCACTGTACCTCGCGCCACCAATTGATGGGGCTCGGAAGAACTACCATTCCTCGAGGTTCCCAAATAATTACAGCCTAGGGTTTTGATTTTAGGGTTTAGGGCCAGGGTTCAGGAACCCCTTGTGCTATTTCGGTTTCCACATTCCAACACCCCGACATCAGGGACCGGTGCTGCCTACTCCGGCGTCGATTCAGCAGGTTCCCTTGGCTGTTGGCTCAGCTACCCCAAAGGGGTCCTAGGTACTGTTATGGGAGATATTTGAAACCCTAAACCCTAAACCCTGAACCCTAAACCCTAAACCCTACCCAAGTCGTGGTCATAGTAATTCCGAACATAGAAACCCTACACTCTACTACATAGGTACTTTTGACCCTCTGGATTCCGCCACATCCTCGTGTTACGGGGCCACGGTCACCCTAGGGTTTCGGGGCTTCGGGGTGGTGGACGGGGGGGTGCGGGTTTAGGTGAGTTTGAGGAAAATTAGCTTCTGATGCTTGTTGGGATCCACAGGTTGGCGACATAGGATGGGGACTCTTGGCATCGACCGGTCGAACTGTGAGTTTGGTGCTTGGGTAACTCTGTGATGTGAGTGTGAGGTTCTGTCTTGTTGACTTAACAACCACTGCCCCAGAGTGCCCAACACCCTATAAACTAAAACCAAAATTAAGCCTTTGCAGGTTGATACCGGGGCCTCTTGGGTGTTGGGTTTCAACGGCCGTGAGTTGAAGCCCTTGGTAACTTCAAGCTGTTGTCGGCAGTATCCTCTTTGCCATCATGCCATCATCGCTGCTACTGCTGGATAGTAGCAGTACATGTACGGCTAATATGTCCCTAAACCCTAAACCCCTAAACCCCTAAACCTTAAAGCCCTAGCGCTTGCATTTGCATACGACGAACCAGAGCCCTGAACACGAAACCCCAAGCTAGTACATGTGCAACCCTGAACGCCCCCAAACCTGAAACCCCTTATGATGCATAGTGTAGGGGTCCGGGCCTAAATATAATGAGCCATACTCGTTTCGTGGTTCCTTATCGCGAGTATAGTATAATTATCCCAAAACCCCATTCTGATTATTAAGGCCCCTAGGTTATCTTCTAGCCATCAGGGCTTGACGTGCAAGGCGATCTTCTTGTCCCGGAGCATAGGTTGAGTCATGATGCAGACAAGTGTGTCATGTGCTAGTTGTTGATCTAGTTTAGTTGATGGTTTACCTAGGAGGAGAAATTGATATGTTCAGTTCGAGATAATGATGCACTTGAAGTGAACTTAACAACCTGCCGTGAACGCGGCTTCCCGTTTAGGTCTGTAAACCTTGATGCGGAAACCCGGCACCATGACAGATCATGAACAGGCCTGATGCTACATGTCCGAAAGTTGACATCCCATGCCTGAACCCTACAACTATCCTGGCCAGATTCCCTTCATATTGGCTATACGGACCCTAAACCCTAAATCTAAACCCTAAACCCTAAACCCTAAACCTTCAAACCCATATATTGGCTTTACGGTTTAAATTACATCCAAAACCATGCCCCAGTGCTCGAGCCTTGCCTTTGCCAAGGGCTGGCCCGCTGGCATCGTGCCTGCAGGCCTTGCTACTATAGGCGCCTTAATAGTTACGTATACTATTTTGGGGATCCCTTATTATCATTCTAGCATATGGGCCCCCAAACCCTATTCTAATTATTAAGGCATTGTGCCTGCAGGTCTTTCTTGGGGTTATGGTGCTGAAACCGTTTAGGATTTCGAGTTTAGTGTGGGTTGGGTCAGGATGTGGGTTATTGGCCTTTGGATGGATGGCAATTGTTATCCCTGTTTTGATCGCATTGTCAATGCGTGCCCCTTGGTCGTGCAATGATGTGAAGGATGGTTCTTGTTTCCAGCCTCTCGATAAGGGCCCTGCAAATATGGACACCAGTATGTCCTTCACCGAGGCCTTGTTTGCAGAAGGTTTGCCCGACTTTCTCCTCTGCTTGCAGGCGCAGGTGCCAAAGTCGTGGTCAGTCCGACGCAGGCTCGTGGCTGTGGCCCAGGGATGGATTCTTTATCAGAGCTGCATGTTGGCTTTGCCTCTTAAGACCATGAATATATGACATGATTATGATGATTGGTTCATCGTCATCTTCTCAACACAACCAAAAATGTCAGTGTCCTAAACATCGACTTGCCATGAGCCTCAGGTTCAGCATGGTTGTTGTCATCATCATCGCGCTCATGCTCGTCTCCATTATGAACTGGAATCTCAGCATCGCGTGTAGCTTGCTTCCCACGTCATCCTGCGTGCTGCGGTCTTGTAATGCTGTCCTTGGGCCTCAAGGCTCAATGAAGACGGCTCGCAAAGACTTGATACACCATTGTTTTGGCTGCAAGATACCTTCCAACCTGACTCGTCAGAGCCTAACCCTGAGCCGTAAACCTTATATAATGCCTTAAGTCATGAGTCCTGTGAGTGTTGCTGTCGTTTTCAGCTATAGCTGCACGTTTGGCCGAATCGATCAAACGGCCGCAGGTGGCCTCCCCGGCGTCGACTCCTGTCAAGGCAAATGTGCGTAAAACTTCAGAGCCCTCGGGGATGGATCACTGGGTTTGGATTTAGGGTTTGGATTTAGGGTTTATAGGGTTTAGGGTTTAGGGGGGTAACTGCCCAGAGACTCCAATATCGCTTGATTAAGGAATATACCTCAAATTA